CATGATCTGTGTCGACTTGAGGCCGTCTAATACAAAACTCTTAGCAGTTTCCTGGTGAACTGTTCTCAGTATGTGAGCCTTCCAAGCTTTAACTTTAACTGTCATGGATGATCTCTTCGTACTGGTCATTGCTAGTGATAAAAATGACAACTACATTTTTAAAAAAAACTGATATCGCGATCGGTTTAAGCGGACAACGTATACTAATGGAATATCAATACAAACCTTAATTTTATATCTGCCTCTATTTCTTCGAGCGATGTTTTTAGCATGTGAAATTGATCACATCTAACATCGTGTTTATGTTTACAGCTAGTTTGAAATTCTTTCTCAGAGGAAGACATTGCATATTTGCGACAATTATCTGCGCACCTGCTTTCAGACGCAATATGGATCTTGTAATCTGCCTTAAGGTAGTTTTTACTACACTTCAGTTGCTCTTGAACTTTCTTACTTGAGGATACCAAATAGAGTTGATCTTCCCAGCGGTTCGAAGTCTTTTTCATGGCAGAATGAGAAATACAGGTTAACAAGTCTGGAAGTCGTGACGGTCCGTATACCACATTAGGTATTTCAAATGCTTCTCCGTTGCTCAGTTTGATAGCTTTTGTCCCAARGGCAACATCTTGTAAATAATTTGGGCTCGATATAAAATCGATGAAGTGATCAACTTTAACTGGGTTTAACCTCAGTCGGTGAACTTCGGGTACATCAATTGGTCTTCCTGGCCCAATAAGAGCAGCATGTTAGCGCGCCTCATCAATACGCCATTTAGACAGTCCTGGAATCATTGTCATCAATTGAGCTTTTGTATAATCCTGTACAAACAGCGAGAGTATCTCTCTTTTAGTGGACCATGAGGTTGATTCTTCGTAGAGCATGACTAACCTATTTATCAGTTCGCTTTCCGTGGAAGATGGAAATAATGGTGACGTATCATCTTTTTTTATAAGGTCAAGAAGTACATTTGATTGGCCAGGCGCAATACAATGCAACACAGCTTCACAGGACTCCAAAGCCTTTCTTTTATGATAGCGAATAGTTGAACCCGCCATATCATTGACAGATAAACTGCACTGTGATCTAATAGGACTTAATTCACGCCCATGGACAAGTCTTAAAAAGCTGTTTAAGGCTGAGAAATTTTTACTGACTTGGGGTGTWGATGTCCAGTCCTTGTCATCGGCGTTGTCAGGGCTTGCAAAATATTCATCGAAGTCTATGTCAGTTTGGATACTGAAGTCACGCTTTTCGTCCAGAGACTCCTTTAAAAAAGAAATCAGTAAGATACATTACTTGGGGCTTTCCTATTTGTAAGTCTGAAACTGTCCATGAATTACCTGCTTATCCGCATTCTCAAACGTGACCTCATTGAAAGAGCTTTCAGRAYTATCAGGGAACTAAAAAAAGAAGAAAGAAATGAAGCAATTAGATTCGTGAACTTGCGAACATATTACATTTTATACTTACAAGATTTACAGCGACGTCGTGGTCTCTCACCTTGGGGCAAAATGACTTTTCTATGTGCTTTTTATGCTCCTCTCTGCATTGTCTACAAATTTCTAATATTAATATATTTATATCATATCAGTGTGAGTACGGTTAAAAAGGCCCCA